CATCTGATTCAAAAGCATTATTATTTTAACTCTCCTTTAGCAGACTTGTTCTATTTTGTCTTCTTGCACTCCTTTTAGCTGTTCAGTACTTTTTGATTTATATTTGTACTACATTTAGCTTTTTGCTACAGTTTTATTTTACTTCAGCCATCATCTAAATTTGTTTAACTAATTTTACCTTATAATTAATTTGACCTTTTAGCAATAGTTTGGCTATGATTAACTTTTGGCTACTGTTTGCTTATTGTATCTTTAAGCTACTATTTGCAAATTGTAGCTTTTCGCTATGTTTTGCTCATTTAAGCTGTTAGCTAATTCAGTTTATTTATATAGCGCCAAGTCACAACAGAAGTGTCTCAGGGCACTGAACAAAAACATTAATATATAAAAATAATAATTTAACACTAGCTACAGTTTTCTTAATTTTAGTTTTTATATGTAATTTTGTCAATTTTAGCTTTTAGCTACTGTCTTGCTGATTTTGGCTTTTAGCTATACTGTTTGTTTGTTTTTTACCTTTAGCTTTTTGCTACTGTTCTGCTAATCTTAGCATTTGTTTTTCTTGTTTTACATTTTCATTAATTCTTCAACTACTTTCAGTAAATGCATTAAGCACTTACTGCACTTTACAATAAATGTCATTTCTCTAGTTTTATTTCGTTTTCAGAAATTCAGAAACGTGAGAATTTGAAGCGGGTGCAGATTTTCCAAGGGGGATTTGTAAAGTAACTCTGCAGTAAAGTTTTTACTCTCAACAACAATCAAATGATCTCATGAAGGAGTGCAAGCTTCTCTTCACATGTTTACTCTGGGATAATATTATTATAAACTGTTGTCCATGCTGTCCATCAGCAGGTCCTTTCCCAAAGCAAGAGCCTTAGCTGGTTCAAGCTAAACAGACCCTCTCCTCGGTGCAAACAGCTGCAGCGGGCAGGTTAGCAGAGGTTTTTCAGCAGCGCCTGCCTGCAACGTTCAGTTGACGTCGAGTGCTCTTCAACTAATTGCAGACAATTACAGTATGTGGCACATGGTGCTCAACATTATTCTCAAACACGACAAAATGGCAGCGAGGTCTCCCATCACATCCAGTGATAATTGAACAATTAAACTTTAGCATACTAATTACCTCTTTATTTGGCAGAACTTATTATGGAGACAGGCCAGTTGTACAAATTGCTCTTTGAGCTCAATCCTAAAAATTGCTATTCCTTCAAACCCAGATTTAACTGGATTTATTAAATAATTGTGGTTAAAAAGTTCTGCTTTTGTATTTTCACGTGAAATTAAACAGGGTTTATTTCACCTCTTCTACGTAGCTCGAGACTCTTTTCAGTTTCTTTCTTTTAATTGAAATTGTTCCAATTAAACAGAAGGTTGAGCGTCATTGAATATTTTTATACCCTTTACTTCAAATTCCATTCAGCAGCTCGATTTGACACCTTTTAAATCACACTCGTTGATTGAGGCAGTTAGGCTCTTTATACTTCAATGTAAAACGGCAAATTTCTGTATGAATCCAAAAAGAGCATGTAGAGAATCTCTCCTTTTAATAATTTAGTGGAAATGAGCAAAAATTGGTGAGCGGTGCATTAACGACGTCGCCGAGCTATTAGTTACGCAAATGAGACGTACGATGTGGAGGATTAAAAATGGAAGTATCATCTGTGAGATAGATCACATTTCTCCCCCTTCTTTTAATGTATTATTTATACACATCAATGTGACGTTAAAATTTACATTATAACTCTCCAGATTATTTGTGCTTGTAAATCTTGCTTACAACAAGCCTCTGAATATAAACTCATGCTAAATGTGCTTTGGAGGACCTGGCACTTCTCATACGCTGACTCTTCGAGGACATTATGTAAAAATTACATTAACTCATACAAAGGGAAAAAAGGCTTTAGGAGCCACTTGAACAATGAAGTGGACATGACACAAGGACCTTACTGAAATAAACAGCATGCTGTTTCTAACAGTATGAATGCTAATACCTCGTGCTGAGGCTGCATTTCATAGAGGCGGGTTCCCCAGGTGGTGGACTGAGGATCCCTGTTATTGATGTACAGGGGTGTGCCTGAATGCCAGAAGATGAACTAAAAGCACTTGGGGTTCAAAAGCCTTGATTGCAGGTGGTCATGCGACCATGCCTTTGTCCTGTCTGGAAGGGAACCATGCTAGACTGGTCAGCAGTGCAGTGACTGGAACATCCCTGGAGACTCTAAAGCCTTCGAGCCTGATGCTTATGTGACTGACCATGGGCAACCAGAGAGTTCAGTGCCTGGGTACTCAACAATGGCGGGGGTCTTCTGCCTCTGCTGTTAAAATTGATTGGCTGTGGCAGCCATCTTGAACTGAGTTGACTCTAAAATGTGTACCAGTACATCCAATGATTACTTCAAGTTTAATTGAAATCTGCCTAGTGGTTCATTAGATATTTTGATAACAGTCGCTCAAACATACAGACTCAAGCAAAAACATTACACTGATTCCCAAAAGACTTGTTCTAATATACGTACAGTAAAATGTGCAAAGTGAAAACATTGTACGAGACAAACAATATTTAACATCGCAAACTCCTCCCCCTGCCATGCAATAATAGAGATTAAGAACGTGATAACAATGTCAGCTGAAAAGGCCAAACCACTGGAGCATGGAGCACATTTAATATATAAATGTGACTGCTCACAGAAGTTATTTGCAAGTCCCAGCACAAAATGATCATATGTGTTGATACATACAGGCGGGAGATGAAAATGATTGGAACAAATATCACGAGGTGGTGATTGTAGACAATATTAAACTGCACAAAGAATCTTTTGTCCTTGAACTCCTGCACCAGTTCAGGTCGGTATCGCCTCTGCTTAAATTTAATATCTATTTCTTTTACTCTATTGTATGGCTTTTATTGAGGTTGTGCCTGCTGTATCGTCTCAATCTAAACCAGAAGTGAAGGTCAAGAGAGGCAGAGTGCTTCTGTTTATTGGCTTCCATTGAGCCCGTATGAGCTGATTTGACTATCAGCTCTTGATATTAAGCTCTTTCACAGTGTTTTATGCTCTCCGGATATTGTTTATCACCACATTGCTGTGTATTTACAGCCGAATTAAATATTCTTTGTCATTTTTGTAATATCCTCTTTGTTGGCTCTTGCAGGATGTGAGAATCGTGTTGGATGTGGCAGCATGTGTGCCTATGGACTATCTATAAGATTAAAAACGCTGCTTATATTTCATCCCCATCCTACTTTGTTAGTGCAAGCAAAATATTTGTATTTTTTGCACAAATTATTCACAAAAAGTTTGTATCAGCAACATTATTTTGTTTTATTTGGTTATTTTGTACAGTCTTATGGTAAACAAAATTTTGTATTTGAGATTCCAAAATTTTCATTTTTGTTGCATTTTTCAATTATATTATTATATTATTAAGCAGATGCATGCAGAAACAAACCTGCTTTTCATTTAATTCAATGAAACTGATTTTATTAGTACAGTCGTAATAAACCAATTAAATTATAAAACTGCATCAGCAAGTGGCTGCACTTACATAAATTAGGATGAATTGTTTCATATATTCTTGATGCCTATATATCTACACTTGCATTGGTTATTTACATGGAGTAAAATATGACTTGGATTGAAAGGTCTCCCATTCCTTGATGAAATTACTATTATCCACCAGGGGCACCTCCAGACATTTTAAAGGGGTGGTCTGTTGGGGCCCACCGTTAAGGGCCCGGCATACTCCATCTGAAACAGAGCTGTCGACTCGTGGTCACGTGGTTGGGGGACGTTTGTGTTCGCACACACCTTTCCAGAGCTCCTGGGAAAACCCTCCTTTTTCAGTACACATCACAGCACGGGTTTCTTCCTGCCAGTCGCCGCTCCATCCCTACATCTGCTGTTTGGCCACAAATCTTTCATGAAGAAAGAGACACACTTTTCAGCAGACAGACTCCTCCATGCACATCTGCACGATCTCCAAACAGGCGTTTTTGTCCATTTGACTAATTTAGTGTCTTTAAGGAGTCGTACAGCTGAATGTCTGGGAACACTTCCGCATTGACAATCACGCCCAGAAACTTCTGATCAATCGCACAATACTAGGTGCATACGCCTGTGAGAAAACATTTGGCCCGGGTCTTGTGTCGAGCGAAGCTGATTTGAGAACAAAATGATGCGATTTTCGTCACGCAACTATCAATGAGAGACCAATAGCCTGCAGATGATTGTTGACTGCAGAGTCCTGGCCTGATGATGTTGCTCTTCTGTGCTGGTCCATCCTTTTGGCCAGTGGCTGTTTAGTTTCCCCGATGTAAGACTGACCACAGCCCTCCTGACACTTAACAGAATACACATATTACAGTGTCTGTGCCAGGGGACCATATTTTTGGGATGAACCAGTGAAATGACTGTGTAAATGACTGGCCATTGAATCAGTCTTTGTTGTAATATATTCTGGGGTTTTGGAAGCCACTGGGACGTCATGTTTAGAAATTAAACGTCCAAGTTTCTCTGAAACTCTCACAACATATAGAATGATAGTCGGGGTCTGGGTCCTTCTTTTCACCCGATGGCTGGCTGAAAGCCATCTTTGTGAACAACTAGTATTGACTTTCATCAGTAAACTGGTTGATCCATTATGAGAAGAGGCTATTTATAAGACTGAGTATGTTTGCAGATCCTCAGACTGAAGAAGTCTTTAAAAGGCGAAAAATTTCAACAAGAATAAACTGTCTAGAGAGCCTGAACTTTGTTAAATTTATCTACCTGGATTATTGATCATAAATCAGGAAAGAAAGAAGAAGTCTTTCGGATGAAAAACGAAACGTTTCTATATTTTTTGTTTGTTTGTTTTGCTCTGTTTTGTTTTTTGAATGTCCAGAGGACCAGATTTAACTTTTTTGGATAAATCAGGGTAGTAGCTGACCGTTTCCGCCAACATATTTCAAGCACAGATTTTGTGAGATCTTTGTTTTAAACTTTGGTATACAAGTCATGGACGGCATGGTGGCACAGTTGGTAGAGCTACCTCCTCTCAACGTGAGATCGCTAGAACGAATCCCGGACAGGGACATTTTTGAATGGAGTTTGCATAGGTTGCAAACAAACACACATATTTGACTATTTAGCCAGGGAGCTCACTGAGGAGACATTTTTACAAGGGTGGCCATTGCCTCCCCTAACTCCCCCTTGGTTGTGCCCCTGCTGCCCACCACTTTGAATGCCAATGTTTTATATAAAGACCTTGTCCAATTTGTTAGTGCTTAACAGCTGTGGCAGAGATGCCTCTTAGCTACGACCACACCGAATTTTAGCTCATAAAATTGACTGATTTGTAGCCATTATTGCAAAATTCTCAAGTGATTTACCTGTCGATTACCTGCATGAATGGGAACCAACTTAATATCACTTGTTTTTTTGTTTTTTTTCAGTGGCAACGAGATACAAACATTTCCTCGGATGGTAAACACGTCCTGACCACAGTTTAAAAATAAAGAGAGAAAGTTCCCTGAACGCATCTCTGCAGCATTCACTGACGTCACGTCTACGTGAGAGAAATCTGAGTCTACAGGTGGTGCACGTGGTCTGTTGTTTACTTCCTCTGGGAAAGCTGGAAGTTCAGGCGGAAGGAGATGAGCGTGGCGCTGAAATTGTGTAACAGCGTCCCCGGATAAAGTTACTCAGCGTTTTGGAAACGGGTAAAGCGACAGAAACACCGAGAAGAAGATGTCAAACTGAAAAAACAAAGCGCTGTTCTGAGGCTGTTTGACACGCGCACAGACGAGAAGTGAGTACAGTAGCTCGTGCCGCTGTCGTTTTTCTTTGTTTTGTTTCGTTTGTTTTTTTATTTTTTGGCTCAACTTTTCAGCAACAAAACTGTAAATAAATGTAACGTTGGAGGACAACAGTGCTATCGACATGGGAGATATTTAATTTTAAAATGTGACCTAGCTAAAATGATATATTTGGTTAAGCTAATTTTTCACCGAATATAGCTAAAAATAAATTTTTAGCCTGTATTAATTTTAATGTTAAATCATCTTTTGTGAAACATAAACTGACTGTTTTATTCAGCTGACTTGCTTTTACAATTTCTGTTTAGTTTATCAGTCAGTTTGACATATTTGTTTGTTTGTTTTACCAGATGAACATGCTTGGAAACATGTTTACTCATTTCCAACTTCCCCCAAAACCTTCAGAAAGTGCACAAAGTCAAAGCTTAAAGCAGCTTCCAACACTTCCTGACTTTTTTCAACATGTCATGTAAGTATTATTGTGCACTACACGTTTTATTTTGCAGCCTTTAAATTGATAAATAAAGCATTTTAACTTCAACATAAACAATAACAAAAATCCATAACATCTACACCTGAGTTTCAGTGGTCACATACTAAGTTATAAAAAATGTGGGGGGAAATATTTTTTGTTGATCTCTATTAACTCCCTCCAGATATTGAACCAGCTATTAATAAAAAGTAAAGTAATAATTGGATGTACATCTGCAACTGATTACCTTTTGAAATCAACCCCATTCAAGATGGCGACCTTTGCAAGTCAAAAAAAAAAATGCTGTTACTCAGCCACCTTTACAAATATTGAGTTAGAATTTGTTGTGGTTGTAGCTGAGCATTACCCCCAGTCCATACTTAAAAGGCAACACGTTGTGCAGCACCTTTGCCTAAAACCCTGGTATTAACTTTTGGAGTGAATTGGGTCGGTCTGTTAGCAAAATATGTCATGGACATCTGGTTGGATTTTAGTGAAACTTTCAGAAAGTATTGGCTGTACATCTAAAACTCATAAAAATTTGTGGACAACCGTATTCTAGATGGCTACCCCAGCTAACCCACTTTAGCCGAGACTAAAGTAGCACCAAATCAGTTGATTAAGTTACAGAGATAAATTTGCTATGGTAGTAGTCTAGAGTCATCCCTAACATTCTCTGAGTGCTATCACATCTTGTGAGATTTCACAATATTGTATTAAGATAAAGTTTGAACAAAAGCCTAGCATCAAAACCGTTGAGTGATATGCATTCCTTCAACAAATGCTGGGCCTTTAATCGCTTTAGTCATTTGGACACAATTAAAATGAGTGTCTTGTACTTTGGACTAATTTTCTCCAAGATGGCGTCTTTGTTTTCATGTGACGTTTAATTGATGTAAATCCTCTGACTAACCGAGAACCATACAAACATAGTACTAATCTCAAAATAAAATATAATGAAATGACGCCAAAGTTCATGTTCAATAATTCAGGTGTAAAATCCAACAATGTTCAGTCAGGTCATCTGGACGGTTTCTTTTTTTGCTGAGATGTTTTGTCCTTCATCCAAAGGATTTCTTCAGTCTGAGAAGCCACCAAACAAAACTGATTCCCACAAACGGCATACCCCATAGAAAAAAAAATAAATAAAAAAAATAATAAAATGTAAGAACTAATATGTACTATTTTTTTTTTTTTTCTTTTGGCTGCTCCCTTCCTCAGGGGTCACCACAGCGAACTAACAAGCGCAAAGACTTGGCAATTGTTTTTACGTCAGATGCCCTTCTTGACGTAACCACAGACCACCGAGCTACCACAGCTCTCTGCGTGGAGCAGAGGGCTTCACCATTCACGCATTTTGATGTTGTCAGTCCAGGGGGGTTGAACCATCGACCTTCCGATCACAGACTCACCTTCTCTAACCTCTGCTCCACCATTCACTCCTATTATGTACTACATAAAGGCCAGCATTGAAACATCCATCCATCCATTTTCTTCACCTGCTTATTTTTCGGGTCACTGGGGCTACTGGGGCCCATGTCTAGCTATCACTGTGCAAGAGGGTGTGGGGACAGGGCACCCTGGACAGGTCGCAAGTCCATTACAGGGACACAGGGACAATTTAGAGTTACCAATTAGTCTAACATGCATGTTTTTGGACTGTGGGAGGAAACCCACGCATGCACGGAGAGAACATGCAAACTCCACCCAGAAAGGTCCCTGGCCAGGATTCGAGCCGGCAACCTTCTTGTTGAGAGGTAGCAGCTCTACCAACTGTGCCACCGTGCCGCCCCGGTATTGAAACAATATAACTTTTTTTTTTTTTTTATCAAGATCAAGATATCAAGATCAAGTACTGAGCTCAGTTTACATGACCTGACAAAAGTCTGCAGCCACAACTTGTCTTCAACAAGCTTCAACTGGAACATCAAGAGATGGACTAAAGGGTGGCCAAAGTAACAAACGGATTGAAATAAAAGAAATGTTGATTGTCTCTTTCTCTGTGCACTCCCATTGTAGGAAACTCACTGGACTGAGGAAGGAAGATGTTTACTGCAATCTTCGTATTCCTGACCAGTCCCAAACAGCCAAAGATGACATCAACATTGTTATCCTCACAGGTATGAAAGTGTTTGAGAGACAAAAATTGTTGCAGACTTGGCCCTAACACTTATTGACTTTGTATGCTTCTTCCATTCTTGCAACAATGCCTGACCACTGTATTAATACAATAAAGATTTTTTGTAGATCAAAATGACCAAACATTCAAACCAGTCAGCTGTTTTATAGCATATCTTTTTCACAGCACTTTATTCTGTTGCATGCTGCAAGTTGAAGGTGCCTACTGTATTTTTTGGCCTATAAGTTGCGGGGTTTTTTTTTTTACATACTTTGCATGCACTGTGACTTATACGCCGAAGCGACATATTTATGTTTTTTTTCCATATCAGTAAACCAATTTTTGGATGACATGACCATTTTCATTCATTCTGATTGAAAATATTGAACACTACCATTTTCAGCCGCCAGATGGCAGAAGAGTAGTATGGCATGCCGTTGTGCCATGTAATAGGTAAAAGTGGTTATTAATGACACAGTCGGCTTGCCATAGACTGCCACCGTCGTCCACCTCGTCTGGAGCAACCGTCAAATCAACTTCATTTCTCTGCACCGCCCCACGAAATGCAGCTAATTTGACCACTGAAGTGCATTTATTAAGTAAAAGTTCAACTGAGACGCACCTTTGCTATAATGTTGAGCAAACAAATAATTGTTTTAGGTATTTACAGACATTGCTTTTGAAATGCAGCTGATTTGACCGTCTAAGTGCATTTTATTAAGGAAAAGTTAAACTGAGACACACCTTTACTATATTTTCAAGTAAACAAATGATTGTTTTTAAGTGTTAATCTTGTTAAATTCTTGTTAAAGTCCTCCCGTGCACGCTCCCGCATTTGGCAGCCAATCAATTTTTGGCTCAACACCGGCCCACATTTCCAGGTCGTCAGCGGTGACGCGTAATAGATGCAACGTATACGGCGAAGCGACGTGTTTATGAATTTTTCCACTTTATTGGACATATTTGGACTGATGCAACTTATAAGGCAGTGTGATGTGTACGGCGTAAACTACGGTATATGGTATGACACTAATGTTATGTTTATTTATGATTTAAGGCCAAGGGATCTTCTGCATAGATGTAAAACCCTGGAGAGGAACAGTGTCTGCTCATAATAAAAACTGGCATGTACGAGTGACAGAAGAGGACCAGAACTTTACTGGTACCTGCATCAAGCAGATGGAAGATCCCATTACAGCTATCATGGTAAACAGACTCATTTAGGCCAAATATGGCAGAGGGGGGGTGGGGGGTAGTACCTGGAAATGTTAAACTGTCTAGCACACTTAAGCCCAAGGTCCCGTCAATTATCCAATTCACTGTTTTCATACAAACTGTAGCGGGGTTAAGAGACTCTGAGTCACCGTAATAATTTATATGGAAATTTCAAACACAACTGCAGGGTTTCCTAAATCTCACAAGTGCTTACTCTTCTAATTATGTTCACAGACTGAGGGGGCTGGGGCGAAAGCAGACAGGTGCCTAAACACAGCTGTGACCTTATGTGACTGAGTCTGTTAGGGGTCGTTCATTTCCATTTCTATAGATGCTCCAGTTTGATGGAAAGCTTGATAGAAAACTGTAATAATAAACACAATCTGCTCTATAGAAACACTTCTTGAACTGAATCCATGCCCTTAATTCTACTCGCCTGCACATAGCAGATATAGCACAACCTTTTGGGCCTGGTTGATGTTACATCAGTACTTGTGTAATATTTGACCTTTTGTCTTTTAGGTTAGCTGCTGCAAACCTTTTTTTTTTTTTTTTTCACTGAAAGTCCCCCTACTTGAATCTGGAAGTAAAAGTTGTTGCCTTTTCTGCCTTCAAGCCTGTGCACACGATGAATAATAATAATGTGACTGTTTATGAAGCATTCACACCATTCTGATCCATTTTTCTTCCTTATGTTTTTGTTGTGTTTCTCGTCCCACAGTTTTCAAGCTATTTCAACAAATCATAAATCAAAACGTTCAGCTCTGTCAGGACAATCCTGTTATGACTTTTGGTATTGGTGCAACTTTAGCCTTTTTTTAAATATTTAGCCTTTTCTGTCACTTGTTTTCTCATAGAAAATTTACATCTTTCAAATCTTTTGCTCTGTTTACAACGTTTTACTGCTCCTTTCACATTTTGTTCTGGTTCAGCTTCTTTCAGCTTCCATGTGCAAATTTAAACTTTTTTTCAGCAAATTTCAGCTGTTTTTTCAGCTGTTGTGGTCCTTTCAGATTCTTTCTGCTAATTACAACATTTTTGTGCATCTTCTAACTTATTTCTGCTAATTTCAGCTTGTTATGCTCCTTCCAGCTTATTTCTGCAAGTTCAAGCTTTATAAATCTTTTTCAGCTAATTCCACTTTTTTTTCACTGACTCATTTAAACTTTTTTCAGCGTAATTCAGTAAAATGTGCTCTCTCCACTTCCTTCTGGTATTTTAAGGTTCTTTCTGCCCTTTTTAGCTACTTTTCAGCTGGGTTTTTTTTGGTTGCTAATTTAAGCTTTTTTCAGATAATTTCCACTTTTTGTGCTCATTTCTGCTTCTTTCAGCAAACATTCTTTCTGCTTTCTTCAGCTAAATTAAGCTTGTTCTACTTTTCAGCTACTTTTATTTTTTAGCTAATTTCAGCTGTTTTATATAAATTCAACTTTTTCATGGTAATTTCTGCTGCTTTCAGACTAATTACTATCATTTATTTCTGCTAATTACGGCTTATTGTGCGCCTTTCAGCATTTTTCAGCTAGTTGCAGCTTTTTCTGCTGCTATTTCAGCTACTTTTTTTGCAGTTTTTGTGCTAAATTTAGCTTTTTCAGCTAATTTTTTAAAGTCCATTTCAGCTCCTTCCACTTTTTCTGGTTTAAGCTTCTTTTTGCCTTTTCACCTACTTTTCAGCTCCTTTTTTTTTTTTTTGGCTATTTAGCTTTTGTTTTTAGCTAATTTCCTAATTTATAATCTCATTTCTGCTTATTTAAACCTAATTCATCAAATATGTGTTCTTTCTGCTTTCTTCGCTTAGGCTTGTTCTTCAATTTCCGCTACATTTCAGCATGTTTTTAGGTAATTTCAGCTGTTTTTCAGCAAGTTCTTCAGCAATACGCATTCACACTGCATTTTTGCAGGAAATGCAATTTCTCTAGTTCATTCATGTTTCTCTTATAAGAAATGCTGGGTAATTATGTCAGGTGATCAGATTGCAGACAAAAGTTGTGAACTGGTTTGAGAAATTGTAATCACAGAGTTGTAGTTGAACTGGAAAAAAATGTCTCAAGTTGCAAAAGGAATTATATTGTACTGCAGTTTTGCAATTTGTAAGCATTTTTTTCTGTGACTTTACATTCAGAAGAAAACAAATCTGCAAGTTAGGCACTCCATTAGATCTCTGTTTTGCAACAGATGTCAAAAATATGTAAATTAAAAAGTACACTTATATACAATATAATAATATGTTGTCTCTCTGGTGTTTGTCTCCTCCAGACAAAAACTATCCAGTTATGCAGTCATCTGAAGAGGAGTAGAGTGTCAGTGCGCAGCAATCTGTTCTTCCCAAAGGTCGTCTTCCTCTCACCTGACTGCAGGCTGGATGAGGAGCTGATGAAGAGGAGGGAGCTGGTCTCTCACAGCCAGATAGATGACTTCCTCAGATCTTTTAAGGAGGGCTACATGGCCTGGATAACTGATGCCTTCACTCCCTCCTGGATTTCAGGTGGGACTTTTTATTGAATTCTTGACGTCACTCAAAGAGTATGTTATAAATGATGGTCAACAAGATCAAATTTTATCTCACTTGATCTTGACTGACTTAGTCATTTTTATCGTCTTTAAGTTCAGTTGGCTGTGGCAGCCATCTTGCATCAGGTTGACTTTAATGCTAATGCTACAGATAAACACACAAAGGCACAGGCAGCAACATTATTGTCTTTGACAGTTTGTGTTTTTTCTGTCCTGCAGGTCATCTGTCATACAGGCAGATGGAATCAGTGCGGGAGGTTCTTAGGAAGGTGGGAACGTGGGATACGGTGCAGCTGCACTGTGGCGAGCAGCTGAAAGGGGACTATCAGGGCTGCCAGTACATCGCGCTCGACCGCCAGGAAACCGATATGCTGGAGTTTTCCAGAATCGGGACACTGTCTGCCGATTCATTGTGGGCTCTGCTGGGCCACGCTCCTCAGGTCAGTCCACAGGAGTGTCCGATCCGTGTCCTAGAGGGTCACCATCCTGCACGTTTTAGAGGTTTCTTCTAAATGACACCTGATTTGGATTAATTGGTGGTTTATAGACATGAAAAAGTGATTCAACCATTAAATTGTGTGTGCTGGAGCAAAGAAACAAGTAAAACATGCAGGATAGTGGTCAAGGACCTAATGCCTAACATGAACCAGCAGGTGGCAGTATTACTTTAATAGTTGTGGACCTGTCTAGTTCTTAAAGTGAAACAGGGTTAATTTGTCCAAAAGACCACTGACCATGACACGCATTAAAAAGTAATTTAAATGTATTTAAGCTCTATTGACAAGATATAAATAAAATAAATTGAGACTATTTTAGGTCTCAATGTAATTTTGTCATACTCGAACAAAAATATTAAACATTAAGCTGGGTCTGTTTAAATTGGTTGTTAAATATTTTTTGGGAAAAGAAATATTGATTTGTTTTCCAAATAAATTTTTGTTTTATGAGACAAAGAAAAGCACAATTAGCCTTTCTTAACATGCTTGGTGACTTCTCTTCAGTGTATACACTCAATTAATTTCAATAGACACTCCAAATGTTAATTATTTTCTAAACTCTTCAGTTTTTTTTTTTTTTCATTGAGGTAATTCATTTTTCCTGTCTGCAAGCGACTCATTACTATAGCTGTTTTGATTCAGTCAAGAATCAAGTTACAAACCACCAAAATAATCTACTGAGACCATTCAAACTCCTAGATCCTTTCACCACTTCCACTTTTCTTATTGACTCAAATATTTACTTACAAAAGCAGTTTTTAGTTTTTATTGATGGTCTGACTGTCAGTTATTTTCTGAATATTACCTCTTCAAGACCAAGCAGTCTGACCTGTGCTCAGCATCTATTACCAGTTCACACCCCTCAGCACCCAAACACTCAGCGTAGACCCTCTGTACAAGCCTGGGCTTCAGTTTGCCCACCCCCAGCACCCAGACTGTATCCCCATTTGCCTCCAGCTGCTGTGTATTTGATATATGACCCAGCAGTCATTAGACGGTCTCCAGCAGACTTTTTTCTCGCCCGCGGGGACACATGCAGCGGCCACAAAATCTTTTATTTTCAAAGGAATCTTTGCACGTGTGCAAAGTGCACACGTGCACTTTGAGTGAGACGAGAACCGTATTTACCACATATGCTGTAAATAATCTCATCTGATTTTTTTATTTTATTTTATTGCAAAGATAATCACAAAAAGTAGATTTTTACAAACGCATTTTAGCAATAACCTGAATGGTTTTAGGCTCAGTGCCGGTGTCACATGCCGTCTGTAGGAAGACGTCCACTTTACTCGTGCAGCAGCTGCAGGCGAAAGCTTGAGGGGTGGCAGAGAAACCCGATACCTCCCCTGGGCATATTTTCAGAGCTCAGAAATAATGCATGCTTTTGATTTGTTACTTGTAAACACACTGGCTAAAAAACCTGTGGTATGACCTACGGTTCCATTTGGGCATCTGTTTGCTCTGTAAGAAGTGGCATCAGATGTGCTCACAAAGCCACCTTTGAGGTACTGTTTTTTTTTTTTTTGGTGCGCTTGGGTAATTACTCTGTGGTGAATGGGATGTCTACATGCCCCAAAGTGGAGAATGATAGAGTAGAGTGGCTGCAATTTATTAATTATGGTCTATATTCTTAGACCACGGGTCTGGCTTCATTCAATTTGTATGGATTGAGAAGGTAATTAGTGTGTGTGTCGTGTGTGTGTGTGTGTGTCTTAAGGAGGCAGAGAGAGAGAGGTGAAGGTCTATTCATGTCATAATTTAAACTGCAGGTTACTTCAGTTGTCCATCTTCATGTCATCCCTGATTTGGACTATTTTATAAAACCTGGTTAGCAAATTCCAGTGTATTCGTCAAGATATCCGAAATTTTATAGAATTTTAGATCATTTTAATATGACTTGACTAGACATGTCACCTGATTAATATCACCACTAGGAGAAAAGTTAGAAAAATCAACACTTCTTTTGATGGAGAACGAGTCCAAATAAGTGGGTCTGCGTTGCCGGAGCTACGTCTCGTCTTCCCGACAGGCGACGGATTCCGCGCTATCGGAGCTCGTTAATTAAACTCCATCCTCCTGACATTCCTCTCCGTTTGGCCATCTCCCCGGCTGCACGTGTCGCCGGCTTGTAATGGACAGCCTAGTGCTCGTCGTGCTTCGCGCAGAAAAGGCAAAAGTGTGGGGGTGGAGGGGGGGTAGACATCAACTGCTTTGTGGTGCTAATGAATGAAGGCGCACAAAAGACTGGGAGCAGGTCATTTACAAAGCCTGCAAATAGATCGTATCAGCAGCCACCGTGGCTTTTGGACTGTTTACAGTTGGAGAAATGTATAAAAATAATGCACATAGGTTTGTTATTACTTACAAATATGAATAAAAAGCAGCAAATAACTCTATATTTTATGACTGCTTTAAGAAAACATTTGTACATAGCTGACATTTACAGTCATGAGGAAAATCAATCCCACAAAGTCCGTTCTTTATGCTCCTGACAGAAATTATGTTTACTCCTCTAAACTTTCACTGGAAAGTTTTCTGGTTGATTCCCTATAAAGTAAGACCTACAATGTGTTGCATATTTTACAACATAAATGAAAAGTGTGTGGATGCTAAGTAGCAGGGTGTTCAGATCTCTGTAATTGCAGGATTGCTCTTGAAAGGAAGCTGGCATTGGAAATAATTTGCACAAGAGTGTGTGTAGGAAGCTGCTGAGGAAAACTACCATACGTGGGTAATTACGCAAGAGAGGGCTGCTGCAGCACCACAAGTGTCTGTAATGAACTAGTGAAGACATCAGCACTCGTACAGTGGGAAGCAGGGATAAAAGCTGCTTTGTGTGATTAAACTTTAAATCTTTTTTTTTTTTTGCCGAAGCATCCCGCTTCAGTAGAGTCATGTGAAGAGATTCTACTTTTGTCGATTTGAAGATGACGCAATGTTTCCTCCAAATTTATCATCCAGTTACAAAGCCAATCATTTTCAAGGACTCTCCAAGCACTCGTTTGTTAATTTATTTAAACATCAGCTGTTGTAGGGTTTACGATTTGCACATTTCTGCTTAACACTTGTAAATATTCAGCAAATTTGAATATATGTTTAACATAAAGTTGCAAAATCTCAGTATTCATTAGATTTTTTTTTTTTTTGTGGAATGAGCAGTGTTGCCAGGAGAAAGTGAAAAACATTTTTTTAGTATTGTGCAAATGATAATGCATTATCAAGGTTTTTTTTTTTAAAGGGGGGGGGGGGTAATGTTTTTACTGAAATCAAATTAAAATGAGCTTTTTAATAAAAAATCTTTAGGTATAAACAGTCTTAAAAATAGTAATTTTCCTAAATCCCTGATAATTTTTGTTGATTTTTTCCAAAAGATTTTATTCATTTTATGTCCTGAAACAGCTTTGACTGAAAGTCTTGTTTTTTATAGAAGAAAAGATTGAATATTTCTAGCTGCTTTGGAAAAACAACACTCCTTAAAACGTTTCATAAACCAATTTGGCGCGTTAGATGCATAAACAAGCCATTCAGTAACTTTGATTTGGAAACACTCAGAACTTTGGATAAAAACTGAAAAATTTGTAGGAAAATAAACGAGAAAAAAGTGAAATCACAATAAAATATCACAGAAAATCAAAAGTCTATTGCTCAGCTCTAGACATTAGTTTTCAATAAGATCTATAAGCTTTATTTAAGATTTTCAATTAATTTGATTATTTTATCAAATCTGACATAAAATTGAAGTTTTATCTAACAGAAGTATCTTCTTGGTCGCTGGCCATGATCTTAATTTTATCTCCTCTAGCTCAGTTATTCGTTTTCTTTTCTTTCTTCTGTTTTTTTTGACTCAGGATATTACAGTGATCCCCTCAGTACCAGCTCTTAGATATGATCAATAATGATTCATGAATAATGAAGAGGGCCGAGTGGAGCAGAGGCACTTAATTACAGCTTCAAAAGCCATTCTCGTTAATTGAGGGGATAAAGGTGGTGAAGTGGACTGAGCAGCACCATTAGATTTGTTTTTTTTGTTTTTTCCATTCTTTTTTGGGCTCACTTTGTTTTTTGTTTTTAATTACAAAAACATGAAAAAAAGCTCAGCTGAGGTCACAGTTGTATCATTTCCGTGTTGGTAATAAATTTTAATTTGGGTGCTAATTTTATTTTTTCCTGACTACCCGTGACCAACCTTTGTTCTTTTAATGTCAAAAATAAAGTCGTATGCTGCTCGTCCAATCGGCGCGTAGCTGTTGTGTGGATGTAATTGACAGCCCGACCATCTGTTACGGTTACGTGAAATCACAGATAAACTAGTTAACAGACACTTTGGCCCATTGTCTGTTGTTTTGATAATCACCCTTAATAACGGACAGCATCAATATGGTCTTTAAACCTGATTTGAGAGTTAATGGAGTCAGATGGGGACAGTCAGTGTATGCTTCGGGGGTAATGTTGTTAGAGATGTTCGTAAAGACCAAATTAAATCAGTCATAGATTGTGCCCTCTCAAGTCAGCCAGACAGCCAGACCCATTGAGGAGAAAAAGGAGGGGATTCATATTTTAACCTCACAGAAAATGCACTTATGTGGATGGAAATAAAGTCGTAGCTGGGTGACTGGATGCAAATGGTTATTGGAGAGAGTCTAATGGCTTCCTGTTAGCCGAGGCTGGCTGTTTTGGAAGCAGCTATTCAGGATTTACCCAGCAATGTTTGCTTTAGACAAATGTAATTATTGGCATAAACGGTAATGTCACCACATCAAAGTTTAGACGTTTTAATGGATCGTCTATGTCTGGAGCATGCACGAGTTTGGTTATGGTACTTGAAGTATTTCATGAAAATAAAAACTAAGTGAATATTATCTCAGGTTTCTAAAGAATATTTGAAACTTCTCAAAGGAAGTTGTTCTTTCAATATTTTCCTTTCCTTGTACTTTTTTATGTCT